CCATGGATCGGTCCAGGGATCAGTCCAGGGATCAGTCCATGGATCGGTCCAGGGATCAGTCCAGGGATCAGTCCAGCAATCGCAGCAGAGATAGGCCCCTGGACGTAGAGCAGACCAAACAAGGTCCTGCAGTTGCATTTTCTGTGGCAGCATAGCTGGAATATTAGAATAACAGGATGAAGAACCTCTGATGGAGTTTCTGCTGCTGCCTTGGTGTTGAAGTGCAGCTGTGTTTCTGACCCTCCTCTACCCCACATGACCAGACCTGTTGTTTTTCACATCCGCGCTCTTTGCTCCTCTTCTCCTCCTTGTCTTATGTCACATCTGCTGGCCAGTTGATTCAGTTAGATCTAGACTTAGACTAACTTTATTGTCATTTTGTACACAGAGTGTATACAAAACAAAATTTCGTTCAGTACATCTCTCAAGACATTTCAATTCCTAAAGCAGCAGTGATAAAATGTAGACATGGTGATCAAATGTAGACATAACAGTGGTAGCTCCAGCAGGCGTTGGTGGTCATAGTTTTGGGATCGATGCCTGGTTTGTAGCGTTTTGAACGGCATATTTTGTGGAATTGTGGAGAGCAGTTCCTGGCCACTGCCTTGAGGCGCCGCTATGGTCATTGAGTGATGATCTTTAACTGTAGAAGTAGAGTCTTTAAGCTTTAGCTGTAATTTTGAATAATTTTAATGTCTGCAGCTTTGCAGTGTCAAAGCAAGGCCGCTAGCGAGCCAAAGCTGGTGCAGTTTTACTGAAAGTTGAACAAACTGCAGCTTGATGTCACATAAACACCCTCCTCAGCTCATTAGCCAATGTTCTGTAGTCAAAGTATAGTTGGAGTTCATCATCTGCTCCAAACTCTCCTCACTGCCTTATAATATGAAAACACACGGAGAACCGGTTAGCTTTGGGTTATTGTCAGGGTTAGGGCAAATCAGTGAAGGTCAAAACACGGTCCTCACTACATATAGCATGATGTGAGTGTGTGTGTGTGAGCGCCAGACTGCAGTCTGTCAGGTATACGCGCATAGCTAATCACTAATTCCAGCCTAAGAAGAAAAACATTCAGTCGCACCTAAAGTTGGTAGAAAATACAGAAAATATTAAAGAATGCAGATGTGCAATATGAAAATCCCTGGCTTCTCTTCATTGGCTTCCTGTTAAATCCAGAATAGAATTTAAAATCCTCCTTCTCACATATAAAGC